AGAAGCTGCCCGGCTTCCACAAAACAACGCCAACGGATATCCAGCTAGAGATAGAAAAACCCCTAGGCTCTATCCAGAAGTATCATCAAAGCGGCCTACGCCGGTAGCAAAACCTGGACACACCATACTCATCCTGCAACACAATTGCTCGGAGTTGGGAGCAGGAGAGTAAATTTTCCTCCTGTATAGAGTGCTCAGAAGTGCTGCTGATGCCAAAGAGGAACTTCTGTATGCCGCCAAGCAGTTGTTTCTGATGTGCTACTTCCTCAACTTGGCGCAGCAAAAACTACGTAGTCCGTAAATGCCCGAAATCAAGATTGACAGCATCCAGAACAGGTTTGAAAAAACCTTCAAAATGCTGGACATCAACATGTAAGAAATGAAGGACGAGCTGCGAATGCTTGAAAAGATGGTTAACGAGGAGAAAATATGCTTATATAATAAAGAGAAAGCGTCGATCAGAAGATGGCAGTGGCACCTTGGGGTCGATATTGGGGCGAATTGAACCGCAGGAAATGAAGCCGGAAACAAGAGATGAGTTGCAAGGAAAACCGTGAGAAGGGAGATAAGAAGAGACAGGCTTTATCAGACCAAGAATATCTCGCATGGCTAATTGAGGAAAGTAAATGTGATGACGATGACCAGGTGGAATGCGTGTCGAAGCCGAACGACAAAGATGAGGAAGCGCCAGAAAGAAAGAAGAAATCGGACCACAGTGAGCCGACTGCTAAAGGAAAAGCAGACGAGCCTCTACCAGCAAGGGAGTGCAAGATCAAGTTGCGGAAATGCCTGGTGACGAGGAAATGGTGTTGACAGACGAAGATAGGGAAAGATGGAAAAAGAAGTAGCGAGCTCGACCATAGCTACGAGTACCTGTTAAAACGGAAGCGTGAAGGCTAAGCGATGTCCTCCATGCACTCCTTTTAGAAAACATGACGATCACTATTCGGATTCATGTCCCAAAGTAATAGACGGAGTGGACACATGGCACTTCATCCTAGACGAAGACCTGTGTGAATATTGTTTTGATAACTGCGTTCCAGAAGGAATGTCTGCGAGCAAGTCCAAACCATGTTGGTACCGCAATGTTGCGTGCAATACGGTTTTAAATGAGCTGATCCCTCGAGACAGTAGACATCATAGAGCACTCTTTACGATCCACCACGCGAAGCCTAGAATTGCAGCGAGAATTGAGAAAATAACGAGGAAGCTGTGGGCAAGCGGGCGCCAACGATGGTACGGCGGGGCTATAGTTATGCTATCAATCAATACGGTCAGAAAGCTTTTTCTTGCACTTTCACAGGCGTTTTTCTTATCTTTAGGCTGATCTCTTAGAAAATGCTTTTACAGGCTGCGTTATGTTGTCACTTCTTTGGTGCTGTCGAGGAATTTGCCACCGTGTATACGGAGAGCAGGTTAAGTGAATTCTGGATTCGTCCTCCGCGTGTGCAATAGCTTGATGTGGTTCAATAACCTTCTACATGTCGTTCGGTTCAATAACTCGTCCAATAACACCTTCAGAAACCTACCAATAACCATAGGAAATCTGGTTGTAATAAAGTCAAAGGCCATATTTGTGTAACAACAGAATACATCTTCAGTAGATACAACCCGCATAGCCAGGCAGGCAGACACCGACACCTAGAGGTTTGGACGAAGCACTGATTTAGCCTCAAATCATCACGTTTACCATGGACTGGACTCCTGCGGCTGTTTTTTCCATTTACGGATATTATGAGATAAATAGATGGTATAAATGAGTTTGTGAGTGATCCTAAGAGTTTTAAGGCATCGAACGGTGAACCTCTGTGAAACCACAGAGCCTACTAGGACTGCCGCACCTCGAAAAATTCTCACAAATTCTTATATTTTCCCTCCGATCTCAATGCTTGATGCTTTGCTCGAACGGTGGAAAGTTGCACGTTTGATATACAATAGTATCCATTAAGCGCTTCATACTCGATATCATTCGAACGGAGTTCCGGAGAGTTTCCTATTGTTCGGCACCTTCATTTTTGGTCATTTCTCTTCTTAATAATTCTCTTCACATATGAAGGTTTGGTAATCCGTTCTCATTCACTTACGAGTTTAGCTCGCAGATGGTCTTGCTCATTCCATTGCTTTGATGTTTTCTGGGCCCGTAGGAAAACTGTGAGCCTCGAAGGAAGCGTTTAGTTCTCAGGCCAGCCGCTTGCTTGCCGAGTTATCGCGTTGCCACTTGAGAAGGCCTTTTCAGGACTTGTAAAACAAATGCCTTCTTCTGCAAGACATTAACTAGCAAAAGACAAACATTTGAAAGGAAAACGCGCACATAAATCCCTCACACAATGGTTGCAAAACCAGGGTCACGCGCACGTAACTTTTTGCCACCCTGTATTGTGGTAGAAGCTTCTGATCACGTTGAGTGGTTTGCATGTTTCATGGGATGCTGCGCTTGCCTGACAAACACGTCTTTGTGAAAGTGAATTCAACCCTCGTCTAGCACCGCCCTGTAGGACATTCCGTGAGGGGAGAGCACTAATAAACCAACTTCACACTTTTTCCCAAAAAACAGAATGGCAAAAGAAGCAAACTGGCTTATGCTCTTGGGTCATCTTATTTTCAACTCACTCCATTCACAAAACTATTAAGTGCTTCTGTGCTCAGTACCTTATATCTAGTGTGAACAAAGTGGTTCTTTATTAATCTTTTTGTATTCAATAAAGCTCATTCGTGCCACTTGAATTCCTTCTTATAGCCCTTGGACTAGGTGTTCATGGCGAACACAGATGCATTCTGATACTTCCACTTCAGGACTTACATTTCCATACATGGTCAAGTTTTGAGGAGCCGTTGAATGGGCACTTAGGTAAACGCGTTGTTCTGTTACTCCAAAGTTTGAAGGATTGAATACGGAACGGCGTAACGGTTGCGGCGCTGAACGTCGATAACCCAGACGGTTATCATCCCTGACAGTTCATGACCATCGGAGAACTGATACTGAACTGTCGGGACGTTAAACTACCGTACAGTAATCGTGAGTGGTCTGATGAGAAGGCGGTTTATTGAAATAGCGAAGCATTCTATCCACACAAGTACCAGTAATAAGCTAAGGCCGACGAAATGTGTGGAAATTTCTGCATCAGGCTTATTTATACTAAGAGGAGGCTACCAGTATTCCCGGCAGTAGTCTTGAAAAGTTTGGAAGAAGCATTACATCAAAGATTGCAGTTAGGCGAGAACTGTACAATGTAAACGGTTCTCGTCGAGCCGAGTAGGGTTTGAGGAAATGTCCTGGACTGGATCTCGTCCCCATCACGAGCACGTCTCTATTCCATTAGTGATCTCGCTCTTTGAGACTCGCCGGATCAATCGCGGCTGAGACTCATGTAGACATCGTATGACTTCCACATCAATCTTCAGCACGGTAGAAATCGTTGCCTGACGTTCGACAAATTACAATTTTGTCAAGTTTCATTACAACTGAAATTCTAAGTCCCCATTGGAATATCTGGAATTTGGAACCATCTTTATGTGGAGCGCATCATCCGATGGAAGTTCCGATTAGCGCGTAGCTTTCGCGTCACCGCAACGGATTAACGGATTGCGCCTCACTAAAATCTGTCGTGATGACACAACATCATTAGTTGAAAGCCACGATCCAGTATTCCTACATATGTGTGGGAACGGAGTTGATGAAAGTGGGGAATTCCAAGCATGCAAACAACCATCTATGCCTGCATTGAAGTCGAAAAACGGAAGTCATGTGGCCAAACAGCCATGCAATAATTGAAAGAAAATTAAAAGCACAATTCGAAAGCATCAGGCTCTCATACTCACCCTTCGAATTTCCTAACAAGGAATGTCCTTCAGGTCGCCATGGCCGTTCTACATGAGATGTATACCACTCTATGCATTCTGACACGCTGATTTCGAAATCTGCCTTCCAAATCTGCTAAACGACTCTCCGAACGGAGTTATGAAGCGTAATAGCTCAGTGGTGATGGTCCGGGGTGGCAGGTAAAAGCTCGTAGGATCGGATTCTTGTCTCTAGAAGTGTTGCGGACAAAAGCAAAGCAACAAACTTGCAAAGGAACCGATCCTACGAGCTTTTACCTGCCACCCCGGACCATCACCACTGAGCTATTACGCTTCATAACTCCGTTCGGAGAGTCGTTTAGCAGATTTGGAAGGCAGATTTGAAATCAGCGTGTCAGAATGCATAGAGTGGTATACATCTCATGTAGAACGGCCATGGCGACCTGAAGGACATTCCTTGTAAGATTCCTTGTCTATTGCATAAGCACCATAAACTGTAAGGCTGACTCTACAGTATGCATTTGACATTACACTTTTGTTACAATGATAACCACCAACAAAGGAATACCTTAAGAAAGAGGGCCTTCCTCTCGCAAGTAAGATTTGTTTCTGGAGAAATCGACTCCATGAATCAAAGTCTCATGAATTTTTATTCTGGTGACTGGATTGTATGTAGTTTTTTTACTTCGTACTCTCTATTATGATAGCTATTGGTTAAACAATGTTTTGACTGCACCCTGGTTTCAGAAGACGAAGGCAGAAGAGCATTTTAGTGGACAAAAACTTCAAAGGAGATGACTTTGCTTCCTTCCAATCTGTTACCACAATTTTAGTGCAGCAGTCGGCAAAGAGCCACAGTTGATTAAGCATTTCCACTGCAGAAGCTGGTAAACTTTTCGTTGTGCAAGGTGCCCAGCCACCATCTACGTTCTACATCTCGGTCGAACTATCTCCAAATAGTTTTAGCGGTGAAATGAATATCATAACGAGAGTATTGTCGTAATAGTAACAAGGCTACTGCGTAAACTTTGCGGATCCACTCAGATCAGATAGAAAAAGAAATATTGCGTTTCCTTCGTTGCTAGAAAGGGGCGAAACCGCTGACGCCGAAAAACTGAATTGGTTTTCATTGGCAAGGTTATGCGCTAACAGATGCGCCTATAAAAGCAGCAAGATTCCATCAGTGAACACCGACAGTCGACATGGACGTTGAGTATCAGCATCGATGCAAAGCTTACCGCTTTGTGGCCTACTCGGCCGTCGCCTTCTCGGTGGTCGCCATCCTTGGAGCCGCCACCACTCTGCCCATGGTGTACAATTATGTGCACCATGTCCGCCGCACGATGCACTCTGAACTCAACTACTGTCGTGTAAGCCAATATTCTTTCGCTGACATTTAATTCTTTCCATTTATTTTACTGAATAATTATCGTTTAGACGTCGGCCCGTGATATCTGGTCTGAAGTCAACACCATGAAGACCACAGGAAACCGTACCGCCCGTCAGGCCGGATATGGTAGCGATGACGCCGTGCTGGGCGGTGGCAACACTGGAAGCGTTGGTGGAGGCGGCGGTGGTGGCAGCTACAATGGAGGAAACGACTGCACCGCTTGCTGCTCTGGTGGAGGTGCGGGACCAGCAGGAACTCCTGGAAACGCAGGACGACCAGGAAACCCTGGCGCTCCTGGAGCCCCAGGAAACCCCGGCAGACCACCAGTTCAGCCATGCCCACAATACACCCCTGCTCCATGCAACCCTTGCCCAGCTGGACCACCCGGACCACCAGGAGGCCCCGGACAGCCCGGAGAAGCCGGACGTGACGGAAACCCAGGAGGACCCGGAACTCCAGGAGGCCCAGGTACACCTGGACCCAAGGGACCACCAGGACCCAGCGGAAACCCCGGAAGCCCAGGAGCCCCAGGACAGCCTGGAAACCCAGCCACATCTGTTCCTCCTACTCCCGGAGCACCAGGACCTGCCGGACCTCCCGGACCTGCTGGACCACCTGGACCCAATGGACAGCCCGGAAGCCCAGGAGCACCAGGTGAACTTTGATTCATATTCACTGAGCTAGTTATTTTTTCTACGCAGGTAAATTTTATTTCATTTGCAGGACAACCTGGACCAAAGGGACCACCTGGAGGCAACGGTCAACCTGGCCCAGACGGAAACCCAGGAACACCTGGAGACAGAGGCACCCCAGGAACACCTGGAGAGCGCGGAATCTGCCCCAAATATTGCGCCCTCGATGGAGGTGTCTTCTTCGAAGACGGAACTCGGCGTTAAGTGCTCAGTTTCTTCTAATAGAGTCAACAATAAAGTGCTTTTTAATAGAATGATGTTAATCACAAGGGTTGATAAAACAATCACTCAAACGAATTCCACGAGGTTCCGAGAGACGGTACATGTGTTCTACTATTTCTACTGCAATTTCTTACCTATTCTTCTTTGGAGGGGGCACTACATTACCTCCGCTGTTGGGGGGGAATTCCCATTATGGTACTGGAAATGAGCAGTGCTCTGTTCCTCAAATAATATAGGGTTCTCAATGTTCTCCCTCTGCGCTGAGCGAAATCTGAAGAACTTCTCGCCGTGCTTTGCAGAATCGAACCCTTCGTACTATCTCGTCTTTTTATCACATGCAGTACTGCTAATATTGATGCAGTGGTAGAAGAGTGCTTTACACGAAGAAGCAAAAAAACTAAATAAGAAGAAAAATCGATGATAGAATTGGGTAGCGCAGCGGGGATGGCGCATGCTTGACAACCGGGAGTGCGTTTGATTCCAGTCCAAGTCTCTGGTTTCGCCACACGTCACAATATCCCAACGACGAAGCGATCACACAAATATGCATCGCTCGTACATAGAATTAGCAGCCTTTAAGTAGCTCCGCATTGACGGGTTGATGTCCGACGCCTCTATGAGAAAAAGACCTGTATTAGGCCATGCTCTTACTGTGTCATGCTCTCGACGGGAGATCAGGTACCAGGAACTTCAACCAGACCCAAATTGACGAGTTTCAGCCACCTCCGCTCAATCACTGGGCCTTACCTCTTGAGGTCAAGTGTTGTAATGATTTGGGCAATGAAAGTATTATAAGTTGAGCTATTACGGGGGAACGAAATATAACGAGGGAACGAAAAAAGAGCCTAAAAGGCGAGAAATGAATCCCATTCATTCAACTACTTGACACGACTCTACGGCTGACGGCAAATCGCACAGAGCTCTTTCTTTGTTCTCTCTCCCTTCTCTCTCCCTCCGCTACCGATAACCCCACCGCTGACAAATCGTAGGTCGCTATAAGGCGAAAGCTACCAAAAAGCTGTTTGCGACAGGGTAACGCCTCGCTAGGCTATTGCAGATGGGCCCTTCGTTGGAAAAGCGTCACGTCGAATTTACTCATGGTTGGGAACCTAACCTCCTTTTAGGCCCATGATTACATCACCAACATATTCTTTATCACACCACGAAGCTTCAAACATGCTGATCGGTCCAATAATCGCTCACGAGACATAATATCAAGTCTTTCTCAGGTCTAGACATAAGGCCAAGCAGAGTGCACATGTCATTCTAGAGATGGGAACCAAAGGAGGGAGTCACAGCAACAACCAAAAACTATTTGAGTGTGAGACTACAAACCTCACTTCTCGTCCGCCGCGAAAGGTTTCTGCTCTACTGCTGTTTTCGAACGTGTTTTTGAACCCTGCATTCCGAATGTTTAAACCGGTTTCCTTCTATTTTATAAAGCGCTAACTTTGTGTGTCGGTTTGTATGTCTGTATGTGTGTGCGTGTGTATGTATGTATGTATGTATGTATGTATGTATGTATGTATGTATGTATGTATGTATGTATGTATGTATGTATGTATGTATGTATGTATGTATGTATGTATGTATGTATGTATGTATGTATGTATGTATGTATGTATGTATGTATGTATGTATGTATGTATGTATGTATGTATGTATGTGTGTCCGTCCGCAAAATGAAGTGAGTGAGAAGGAAGCTCATGGGATAAACAAACCGCTAACAAATCGGGTAGCTTACAGGATTTGAGATATCAATGTTTTGTAGCAGGATAGTTGTGATAACACTCTTAGGGCTATATAAACACCTGCTTAGCACACTTCCGTTCATTCCACATGGTGCTGCAGTGGCAGCTGGAGGGCAGTGGAGAGAGGAAGGGAGGATGAGGAAGGGAAGCGAAAAATCTACCGTCATATCATGATTGTGTCCCTTCTACTGTATGAAACACCATTGTGTTGCATACGCGTCACTTCCAGGAGGTGTTGGTGTCACAGGAGGAAGGGACCATAGCGGAGGATAGAAAGCTTGCGCAGGAAAGGAAGGTCCCGGCGGTTGACGGGGGACTAATCTGGTATAGTATAATGAATCAGCAGCAGTTAATCTCACATTTACTCTCCGTGTCGATCGAACATCTCCATAAGATACTAAATGGCAGGAGTTACGGTTAAAGGCGGATCTTACAATAAAAGGGCAGCCCACTGGAAATTAAGCTGGAGATGGTCAAAGCTGCCGATGGATGAAAAATTCAGGAAGAGTCTGCCGAGACCTATGAAAATCGCCGGGGGTACATCTTTGTTGCCAATTAGACGGCACCCTTGGGAAGTTCGCCTTTGACTCCACCAGGTAAGTTTCCCGCTGTTCGACGAGAAATAGCTCTCCTCGAAGAGAAAGTTTCGAGCAAGAAGAAAAACGAACTAAAGCGTACGATACACAGAACATCAAAAAATATACAGGGTTATTGAAATTGAAGTTATCGTTCAGAAGCTATCGACCGTGCGCTGGTCTATAGCTGCGCAACAACAAGCCTAAGAGAAACGGCTTCGGACCTGCGACCCTCGCTTTCCATTTGAATTTCGTGTTGTGAACATATCCGTGCTGATGTCATTGAAGTGATCGCTTCGCTCTGCCTTTCAGCTAAAACTCCGTCCGAGGGACCATCAACTATAGTAGCCAATCGGTGTGCGTGGACAGCTGAGGGGGGCCCTACCGCTGCGGAGAAGACCTTCTGGAACTCTACGGGCTAATCCTCTGCAGCATCCTCTGCTCTATTCTCTCAGGGAACCTGCCTCCGGCTGTGGTAGATCTATTTCCCCTCTCTTTCAAATAACTGTAGCAGCTGCTTATACAAGCAGAGGGTTCACCAGTTTTGCGCAAGGGAACCAACCTAATCCTCATTGATCTTCCCACTTGTGTATACCTCCCCTCAGCAGTTGTTGTTGTCGTCTCTTTTAGCACAAATAGTTGGAAGTGTGCCAGCAGAGGAGACAAAAAGGAACATAATTTTTTCAAAAACGCTGAACTTCAAAGGTTAGACAGCTTTTCGATTCGAATGTGCTAAAGCAATGAGATACTAGCCATGAAGAAAAGAGTTTAGGCGTGAAAGCGCAGCAGATGAGAGAACGCCAGACACCGGACAGAATAAACTGAAGAACCTCTGCAAACCCAAATCGTCTTTGTTGCGCACAGTTTCTGAAGAACGGGATATCTGCGAACTTGAGAGCAGCTCTATACTGCACAGTAGAAGGATTCGTCCACACTGAGTTCATCCCGAGTTGCGCCTCTGATTTCTCGTGTCTGTGTCGCCTCGTAGAGTGAGACTGATGTCACACACTTATTAAAAGAGGCTTGAAAGACGTAGACATTTTCCGAAAATCTGATTGCTATCGGAAATAATTTTACTGGAACTCTCAAAAATGAATGCTTAATTTTGCTTGTAGAACATATGTTTAATGTCAAGAAAACATTTATTACTATATCTTTTTCTAGTCGATGATATTCGAATTCTAACGGCGAGATCCATCTTCGAAGAAGACACCTCCATCGAGGGCGCAATATTTGGGGCAGATTCCGCGCTCTCCAGGTGTTCCGGGGGTGCCTCTGTCTCCAGGCGTTCCTGGGTTTCCGTCTGGGCCAGGTTGACCGTTGCCTCCAGGTGGTCCTTTTGGTCCAGGTTGTCCTGCAAATATAATGAGATCTCAGTGCTGAAAATTAAAAAAAAAACAATTAAGTAGACTTAATAGTACTCGAAAATTACCAGGAGCTCCAGGGTTTCCTGGCTGTCCATTGGGTCCAGGTGGTCCAGGAGGTCCGGGAGGTCCGGCAGGTCCTGGTGCACCAGGAGTAGGAGGAACGGAGATGGCGGGTTGTCCAGGCTGTCCTGGGGCTCCTGGGCTTCCGGGGTTTCCGTTGGGTCCTGGTGGTCCCTTAGGTCCAGGTGTGCCTGGGCCTCCTGGAACTCCGGGTCCTCCTGGATTTCCGTCACGTCCAGCATCTCCAGGCTGTCCAGGTGCTCCTGGTGGTCCGGGTGGTCCAGCTGGGCAAGGGTTGCATGGAGCAGGGGTGTATTGTGGGCATGGCTGAACTGGTGGTCTGCCGGGGTTTCCTGGGGCTCCAGGAGCGCCAGGGTTTCCTGGTCGTCCTGCGTTTCCAGGAGTTCCTGCTGGTCCCGCAGCTCCACCAGAGCAACAAGCGGAGCAGTCGTTTCCTCCATTGTAGCTGCCACCACCTCCACCAACGTTTCCGGTGTTGCCACCACCCAGCACGGCGTCATCGCTACCATATCCAGCCTGACGGGCGGTACGGTTGCCAGTGGTCTTCATGGTGTTCACCTCAGACCAGATATCACGGGCTGACGTCTGAAAGAACATTGATGAACATATATACTTACAAAGAAGCAAGAGAATAAAGTATCTTCAAGAGCTCACACGACAGTAGTTGAGTTCCGAGTGCATCGTGCGGCGCACATGGTGAACATAGTTGTACACCATAGGTAGAGTCGTGGCTGCTCCAAGGATGGCGACCAGGGAGAAAGCCACGGCGGAATAGGCCACAAAGCGGTAAGCTTTGCATCGATGCTGCCACTCAGTATCCATGTCTACGGTGTGCTTGACTGTGGGGTTCTATGCCATTTATAGGCGCGTCCGCTGCTGCATAACCTTGCCTTGCGCATAAAAACAATTCAGTTTTTCTCCAGTTGCCAGTTCGCGCCTACTGCGGACATATTATGGCACGCCTTGCCCTAGTGACGAGAAATTCATCTCTACAGAACAGTTGTCTAGTAGTGTGATGCACGGTGTCACTGTAACTGGGCAGTCAGCTGAGTGAAATACTGGGAGGAAGAGGCGAAGTTGCAGCAATAGACACCCATCGGTGGGTGCAGGGCGTGAGAGAGTACTGATCCTGTAGTGATCCATACTTAGTAACATACGGATTTCAGGTGATCAGTTTGTGAGGAAAAACTGGCTGAGCCGAAGCTTACTGTCACGGACCGCTGGGTGGGTCAAACCTTGCTTCATTTTTCTTGGCTTCAAAAAGCCTTCCATTCCTGGCATCCTGCACAAAGGGGAAGAAACCCACCCAGATCAAAAAAATACCCCCCATAACGGAAAATCGCATATAGTTGCTGAAAGAAAGGAGCTCTTTGTAACGTGCGAAACTTCCTCGAACCCCAGTTAGAGAGAATCTTGTATTAAGTTAATTAGTTCCTGAAAAATGGCTACGTCGGACTTCCAGGATAGAAAAACAATCTACAAATCTTTCAAGTCCTTTCAAACGCTTCTTCATTTAGGATTATTAATTTATTTTTTTCATTTTATTAATTTACTTATTTAGGATAAATCGTCAACTTCAGGAAGTGCAGGTTCATTCGTTCTTTGGTGACTTCTTTCGATATTTTTGTAAAACTCATGCGCGTTAGCCTTACATCAACGTCGTCTACACTGCATTCCGCGAGCGGGGATTCTTTCGCTCTAATCACCGCTAATACT